AGTCTTGCCTCAGGGCTAAGGAAAGCCCTCTTCCGCAACATGGGTAGTAAATGCCCTGTGTGTTCTGCAATGTGTTGGCAGGTCCGTTCCGCCGTGCGGAAGAGATGGCACCGGTGGCAGGACAAGCACTCGATCCGCGCCCGCGTGGCCAGAGCCATGTCCATCCCTACGTCGCCGACACGCGTCAGCTTCCACAGCATCAAGCAGTCGACGGCTGTCTGAGCGGGGAGGAAGCCATCGCGCGGGAGGGGAGCCAAGGTTTGCAGCAGAGCCGCCGCTACTTGCACTGCAGACTGAGCACGGCCTGTGGGCCCTGTACTTCCAGGACGGACCCCCAGCCCCACAAGCACAGCAGAGTCCCGGCGGGGGCAGGGACTGTCCGACACCAAAGAAACCCCTCGCCAGTGTCTGCCCTGGGAGACCAGAGCTCAGAGAAGCTCTTTCTTATTCTCCCAAACCCTTGTGAGGCCAGAACCTCCCTGGCCCAGGACTGTGGGTCTGGGCAATATCTGGTGGCCCTGGCAAGGCCTACAGCAACTGAGGACAACGTTCCAGTCACCTTATCCCAAGGCTGGCTGAGGGCAGAGCAATTCCCCGAGTGATGCCGGGTTTGCTGGAGATACGGCAGAGTCCAGCGTCCGCCCCAGTCCTGACCTAGCAGCAGGTGTAGCGGAAACCCGTGTTCGTCCAGTGAGAGCCCCGGTCCGGCTAGCACTGGTCACATGGATGGGATATGACCTGTCTATGTTCTTGCCTCTCTCCCCATTCCCATGGGTATCTCTCGCTCTGGTTCAGCGGCTGCACGGCAGGTCTGCATCCAAAGGCGTGGTGAAAGCCCTGTTTGTGGCACATGGCGATGGCCCCTCGGGAACGACCCTGTCCGAAGCCACTGCCACCCCACGGCCCTGCTAACCCGTTCTGGGGGGCAAGGCTGGTAAACGCTGCTTCCAGGCTCCTGCTGCCAGTGCAGATGCCCTGAAGGACCTCTGCAAGCTGCGGTGTTGGGAAGGGATGCCCTGATGTGCGTTAACCCAGAGGACAGCCTGGCTGCTTGGGCCACGAACGCAGTTTGCTCGGTGCCATTTCTGTGCTTTGCCTTATGCCTCCGTTTTATTCCGACCCTGCGATGATTCATCCCCCCGCATCCCCTCTGTCGCCCCGCACCAAGCGGGACACCTGGCGAGGTTACACGGCCTGCTGCAGCACTGGGGTCACCTTGCTGCCCCCGCCCCACCCACCCCAGCGTGCAGTGCCTGGCGAGGACCCGCGGCAGCCAGGCCCGCACGTAGTTGTGTGAATTCAGCGTTTGTGAGCGTAACCTGAGTCTTCCTGGCAGCATTCGCCCCAGGGACCGGCCCTCACGCTCACTCCTCTGGCGTTAGCCCAGCGCGCGAGTGGAACGCCCGCTGGACCCCACCGGGCCAGCCCACGCCAGCGGAAAGCCCCTCTTCACCCGCACTAAGGTGGAAAGAGCCAGCGCCCATAGGGAACATGGAGATCAGAGCCCAGGGGAGGAAGTGGGTAAATGAACACTAGATCAGCAATGCTAGCGGAGATGCAGCAAGTGGGGTGGGGAGGAGATTTTTCCTCCCAGAGCAGAGACCTGGCATAATAGGGCCATGGGCTGGGTGCGAAGAAGAGGAAGGCAGCTCCCATTGAAACACCAGGGAAAATTGAATGGGGGGGGGGGGTGTTGGCTTCTGCCCATGGCAAGACAAGGATTTGGAGGACACCTGGGTTCACACCCGGATCCTTGGAAAGAGGGAGTCGAAAGCCCCACAAAATCTTTTAACTTCTCCCAAATCCACACGCACCCATACACCCTCACACACAGACGCACTCTCCTACACACACATACACACTCACAATCATGCAACTCACACACACATAAAGCCCCTTGGTTTTATGCTTCATCCGACCACACGGCTTTGATGTCTGTTTTTTCTAACGTAAGCAAAATTTGGTCCAACTCTGCTGCATTGTCTACAGGCCGCAATTCCCGCAGGAGAGCCGTGGGGGGCCATGGGGCTGAGCTACCCCATGGTCTCAAGCTGCTCCTCCGGGCTTTGTTCCCGAAGGGTGTACAGCTGAGATGGAGAACTACAGAAAGCACCGAGGAGAGACCGGTAGGGCATGGGTGGCATGTTCTGAAACCTGCAGTTTTACAATCCAGCAACTTCCGCATATTTATGCGTATTCATTCAGTATGCAAATGAGGATAATGAATCATTTGCATAAACCCTCCAGATTTCTGGATCTTCGGCCTTGTATGGGCCGGGTGGGTAGAGCTGTGTGGCAAACATTCCTAGCTGCCCTGAACTGCTTTAGCTGAGAGCTAGGAAACAGATCGTTTGTGGGCAAGGTTTGCTTGTGCCTTCTCGACAGAAAAATTGCAGATGACTAACAAAGAAATGCAAATCCTGCTTTTCTCAGCCTGTAAACTCATGGCAGTGACAGTGGAGCTAGTCAGGAATTCTTCAATGAGCCGTTTTTTTCTCCCCAAAATGTCCATTTTTCTAAACTGCACGTTTTCTCAGGAACGGCTGAGTGACGACAAATTCCTCAGCGGTTGAAAAGAAAGTTTCGAAGCGCCAAAAAGGTCCCGTTTTGATGTTTTCTAAATGGTTTTCCAAGTCCAAAAGACTTTTTGTTCAGAAATTAAAGCTAATTAGAGTAACGACATTTTAAAAAAAAATATGGTTGAAATTGAAATAAA